CTACTCAAAACACTAGAAAAGCTGCTGGATCTACACATCAGGAATGATGTAGGGAGACTGATGTCAACCAACCAGCATGCCTACACCAAAGGGAAATCGGTAGAGACGGCACTGCACTCGCTAGTAGCCACCATCGAGAGAGCCCTCCATAATAAAAAGTATGCTCTAGGAGTGTTCGTAGACATATCCGGAGCATTCAACAACGTCACTACGAGCGCTATTATGGACCGCCTAGAAGCGACCAATACACATCCCGCAATCAACCTCTGGATAAAGAACCTTCTAAGTTGCAGACGGGTGCAATCAGAGTGGGGCACCGCTTCCATGGTGAGGGGGGCGCATAGAGGCACACCACAAGGTGGGGTCCTGTCGCCCCTCCTGTGGAACCTGGTGGTCGACGACTTAATAAAGAGATTCGAGAGGAGAGCCCCAAAATAACAGCCTATGCAGACGACATAAGCATAATTATTACGGGAGTATGTCCATCGACCCTCAGCTCCATAATGGAATCAACACTCAGGGAGATATGTGAGTGGGCAGGAAAGTAGGACTTAGTATCAACGCGGACAAGACGGACCTCATTCTCTTCACCAAGAGATACAAGGTACCGGCATGGATCCCCCCAAAATTGAAAAAACCAGTCTGACCCCTAAAACACAAGTCAAATACCTCGGCATAGTACTGGACAGCAAGCTGGCGTGGAGACCCAATGTAGTGGAGAGGGTGAAGAAGGCCACCATTGCGCTATATGCATCCAAGAAGATGCTCAGCAGCACATGGGGCCTGTCACCTGCTTTAATGCACTGGATCTTCATATCGGTGGTGCGACCGACTCTGCTGTACGGAGTCTTAGTGTGGTGGCAAGCGACAGAAAAGAAGACGTATAATAAGCTTATGGAAAGGACCCAGCGGCAGGCACTGCTCTGCATTACGGGGCGCTGAGGTCAACCCCAACAAAAGCTCTCGAAACCATAATCGGAATCGACCCCCTGGACATCCACGCTCAACTGATTGCAGCAAAGGCGGCACAACGCTTAGTAGCGTCAGGAAACATGTCTCTACAGGGATTCGGGCACAGTTCAATTGGCCGAGACATGACCAGTATATCTGACTACATTATCCCCCAAACTTGCCTGGACGTAAACACAACCTCATTTATGGGACCCGACGACTGGAAAAGGGGTCGGGACCAGACCCAACACATCAACATATACACGGATGGCTCCAAGATGGAGGAAGGAGTAGGTGCGGGCATATATTGTACAGACCCTGAAATAAGGCTGTCCTATAAGCTACCGGACCAATGCAGCATATTCCAGGCAGAAGTCTTTACCATACGGAAAGCGGCGGAGGTTGCTCGATGTACGGAACGCCCACATAATGTGATCAACCTGTTCGTGGACAGCCAGGCGGCGATAAGATCCATGCAGTCGTCAGCGGTCAGTTCCAAAAATGTCCTGGCAAGCAGGGAGGCATTAGATTTCCTAAGCACGACTAAGTCAGTGCGGATCTATTGGGTTCCCAGCCACCAGGGCATCGAAGGTAACGAGACAGCAGACGTACTGGCTAAGGAAGGCGTCGGGCTGGCAAACGAGAGGACTGAGAACGTGCCTGTCCCCCTCAGAGCGCTCCAAAGCGATCTAGAAGGAGGGCACACGTAAAGGCCAGCAGCAGGTGGAGGAGAACCACCAACTGCAAGATCGCGAAAACCATGTGCAAGGAGAGCAATGGTAAACTCAGCCAATACCTACTACACCTACCACGGAAGGACTGTAGGATGCTAATTGGTATACTCACAGGTCATTGCCTGGCTGCAGCACATGCAGTCAAACTAGGCATCACCAACAGTGACAAGTGCAGGAAATGTGATGAACCTGGGGCTATCGAAACCCTGGAACATCTAATCTGCCAATGCCCGGCCCTCTCAAGGGCAAGAAACATACACTTGGCAGCCCGGTACTGGCATCGCTGGAAGATGCATCCAAGAGGACGCCAGCGAAACTCCTTGCCTTTGCAAAACTCTCCTCGATCCTCACGGATTTCAAAACCGCGTAAAAACACTCAGTAGGTCCATACGCACCAATCCGGACAACTAAGGGCCATATTGGCCTATGCGTGGCCCGTGAGGGCCGTCCGGGACCTCCCAACTTTTTTGAGAAGGGAAAAAAAAAAAAAATTTTGAGGCCCCTTACCCTATAAAATTTTTTACCAAAAACCTAAGCGGGGAAAACCACAAAAAGTACTAGGTTGACAAACAAAATTATATTACCTTTTACAGGAATTTTTATTCAATTAACTCCTTATGCTTCAGGAAAAAATTGGTGTGGAACCAAATATATGCTTGTGAAGCTGAAAAACGCAGGCAAATTTGAACCTATCACTCACTTATGTTAAACACACTTTAACTGAATCAATCGTGAAGTACTTCAAAAGTCGCCGAGACTTTTAAATAGCACTGTAGATGTCAGGCTATATGCCCAATGAGAAGAAAACACGTTTGACCATTAGCAATGGCGTACTTTCATTGGATAGATGTCCAAAATCCAGTTCCCATTCTCCATTACTGAGTGGGTGCCATAGGTAGCATCATCATCAGCCTCTACATCACCGAAATCCAAGCTCGAATCTAAATCCGAGTTCTATGTAGACCCAAACCCAAGCTGGCTAATATCATGATCAAGCCAGCTACGTTTCCCCTTACTTAGGCGCAACAATTTAAAAATTGACAGCTCCGCGATTGCCAATTAATCTTTTATACCAATACCAGTCAACCCCCGAATGTGGTAAACTGAATCAAATGGTCAAAAGCCATAAGCCAAATCCAGATAAATTGCTTTAAATGTCTTTTGGAGTCGAGTTCATAAATTAACTCAAATCAATATCGAAAGAAGACACAAGCAAGCCAAATTCTAGTTTGCAATTCTCCTAAAGTTTAGCGATGAAGATGAATTGTTTTGGTGAGGAACTTCTTGCCACGATAAAGTCTTTGCAGATGTGAGAATCTATTTAATATCAAATATTAGAAATATGTACTCAGCAAAATTGTATCTTTTCATTACTTATGTTAGCTATACGATATTGTAAATGCCATACAATCTCTTCCAAAAATAGGCTAATAAAAAGTACAAACAAAATATTATTTAATGAGCTACTGAGCTTTTTCAGGAGCTTAGTTTGCGATATGTTTAGTAGAAATAATTAAAAAAGTATTTTGGCTATATTAAATATAGTTTTAAGTACGTATGTGCATATGATTTTTTGCCGTGCGGGTCGAATGGGTGTTTTAATGCGAGAATTAGCTAAACAGGCGGACTTGTACCATAATTGCTTAGGCGATAACAGTAAGATTTTTATTGCATTAAGTGCGTGGCAGTCAGGTCACTGTGCTCGCTCGAGACAACGAAAAGAACAACCCATGACGGCCACAATCGAATTAACGTAGCTCTGCAATGCAGACGAGCCTCACGCATTCCTCATGTTAGTTGGCGAAAGTCGAGGAAGGCAAGTTGACAAGATAAGTAAGAGTGTAGGCAGAGGCAAGCAAACAATGTTACAGAAGAAAGAAGGAACCGCCTCAAGAAATGAAGAAAACTTGTATTATCATACAATACTTCATTGTCCATTCATTAAAGATTGGCATAGGGTTTTTATACCCGTACTCAAAAAAGAGTTAAGGGGTATATTAGATTTTTGGTAAAAGTGGATGTGTGTAACACAGAGAAGGAAACGTTTCCGACCCCATAAAGTATATATATTCTTGATCAGCATCAATAGCCGAGTCGATAGAGCCATGTCTGTCTGTCCGTCTGTCTGTCTCGATGAGCGCCTAGATCTCAGAGACTATAAGAGCTAGGGCAACCAAATTTGGTTTCCTGAACAAACAGCGTTTTGGAGATTTATAGATTTGCTTTGGCTAATTGAATCGATCAAAGGCGATGCATAGTGGGCGTAATAGCGAAATGCTTCATTTAATTCAAAATTTCATAGCAAAATCTATTAAATTTTTGTGCGCTATCGGTTCCCAATGCGTTAGTCGAGGTGCTCCCGCTGCGAATTTTGTTTTTTGTCATTTTCTATTTGGCCTTCTAGTACGAGTGCGGTATAAGAAGTTGGCCTTACAAAATGAAAACATTTTATTCTATTTGTTTTTTCTATCAGCTGATTGCTGAAAAAGTTTCTGGCTATTCAAAATGACATATCTCCTCACGGAAATTCATATGTCGCTAAACTCGGCAAGGAGATATGTCGTCAGGAGATAAGACGCTATGCCGTCTGCATGTCCATGACCTCCTCAACTTCGAAAAAAGGCAGGCAAGACGTTGAAGACGGTGTCTTCCGAAAGGAGAAGCTATTCGAGGCATTCGTAACCTTGCTGGCCAGGTGGGTGGAGTTAGGCCCGTCCGCAGAGACCTGTGACGAGTTCCTAAAATTGATATGATCATTGCGTTGCCTCCACGCAGAAAGATTCTGGCTGCTTTTGAGGTATCGCACTCCTGAATCAAATGCATTTGTCCTTCGATGTGCCGAAAGCTGAAAATAAAGATTTGAATAGATATCTGTGCATCGAGACATATGCAAGACATCCACACTGACACATCCTACGGACGAGACCCATCTCAGGAGTGAGCTCCTCAAAACGCGACACAATGCGACCACCAGTTGCAATTACGGAGAGTTCCTGCTGCATCAGCAAATGGTTGGCTTTGTCGTCGTAGCGCCGGCGTCCTTCACTTGCTTGACCATCTAAGTAAACTTATCCTGCTTGTACTAGCGCAGCGCCCCGTAGTCCTCGGCAGAGGTGACTTCCAACTTATGCTTGGTGGGCTCAAACAGGCAGGTAAGGATGGCTTCACATTTCTGCACTCCTTGGGCATTTACGAGTGGCTAAGAGTCTTGTCCTGATTGACGCCCTTTATCAGCATCGTGTCCGACCACGATCTTGTCCAGATCCTTGGGTCCAGTTTTCACAGTCGTCTGCGTCAACTCCTTATTTCTGTTCCTTTTTCACTCATGCCTGGAAGCTTTATCCCGTAGCTTAACCCACATGCGGCTGCCATGGATGGTCGGCCCAATTGTGGCAGTTGCGATAATTTGGCGTAGCCACAGACTGTCTGTCTGAAAGACGTCGGGAAAGAAGAGAAAAGATAAGGAAAGGAAAGCAAAGCAAAGAAAAAAAATAAAGCAAGAGTCGAAGGCATACCAAATTGATTTTATCAGTAGTAATGAATAATAATGCCTAATAAGCGACGACTACTTCGACATCGACACAGCAGACCACACCACATACCATTTGGACCGACAACACGCCGCTGATGATGATGACGAAGTGGATGTGGATGGGTGACGGCTCATTACATAAACGATGGCGCATTGCACCGACTGCAGTCTGCGGCGGGGCTATTAGAGTTAATTGTTAACGGCTCGGAAACTGGCAACTTTGTTTTCTATTTTAAGTTTTCTCAATTTTTTTCCAAATTTTTGTACTCCATATGTGGATGGTATTTAAATTTTAAAATTGAATTTTCAAAGATAAATTTAAAATATATGGTTCAACTTTATCCAAATACTGTGATACCCAGATATATTTTGGCGTGTCAAGCATCGTATTGCCATCTGTTGATATGACAACAGCTGCGCCAAAGACTGGAAAATTATAAGAAAAAATATCTTTCTGCTGATAATGATGATGTTACGGCTGGACTGCTTGATTCTCTTTTTGCCACTGACAGCTTCCTCTTCTCTGCTGTTACTGCGTCTATGGTGTTGATCTCGTTCTGCTGTTACTACCGTTACTGCTTCTCTGGGGTTAATTGGATTTGTGGTGGGTACTTAGTAGAGTGCGGGACACATTGCTTAAATTGGATTCAAAATAAATGAAAGGGCATACAGCTATCGGCGTGCACTATGAGTCAAAGTTAACCATTTCTTTTACTTTTTTGTTTATTTTGTATGTAGCTGATATCTCATCAGCAGGTCAATCATCGAACTTGGCAACAGTTGCCGTTGCCACTCTTAACGCTTAATGAGATTGCATAACGGTCGAGTCAAGGGAGGGTGGGAGAGGGGGGGGGGGGGTGTTGGTGTTGGTGGTGGTGAGTGGGCAAGGCTCCAGTTACAATTCAGTCTGCGGTCCACTACGGGCCCAGACATTATGCAATGCCAATGCGTCTAACGCTGGATTCAAAATTGGCAAAAAAAAAAAAGCCCCATTTCCGACAATTGATAAATAAGCCCCATTCCCCATGGAATATATGGAGGGATATGGCCAGCACACAAATCAACAGCAACAGCAGTAACAGATATTGGCAGGTATTGGACTTTCTGGTGAGAGTCTTTTGGGCTGGGAGTCTATCTCCGGGCCATGAGCTGCCCCAAGGTGATTTGCTTAACACAATGGAAGGGGATGTAGGGCGGCCGTACAGACGTTAGCCGCCTGTTGTTTTTTGGCTTTCCCTGCCAGTCACGACCGTCACAATTTTCTTGTCACTGTCAACCGAAAAAAGCTCGGCGCCGCGGCACACGCAACAAAACGAAGCATTAACAGCAGTGCTCGTGCCCCGCGTTGTGGCAGCAGCGGCAGTTGAAACGGCAAATAAACAAAGCAGTGGCGCGACACAGACAACAACAAAAACAGCAGCAGCTCCCGATTGTCGCGCTGATAAGAGGGCAGACAATTTGAGGAAAAAAATCAAGCCGAATGTCAAATGATCTTCCGAAGATAAATTATATTCTTATGTACATATGTATATGTATGTATGCAAGATATTATTTAATTGACTGTTTATTTAATTTATGAATTCGCAGTAGACTGGCAAACTATAAGAATAATTAGCTTAGACGACACGGCTCAATCTCTGCTGATACTCCTTTTACAATGCTGTTCTGCTTGTCTACTGTTGTTCTACTGCTAAGCCTTTCTTCTTCGTATATATTTATTGGTAGATCTATGGCAAGTCTTTAATTCTTGAAGTTGGGAAATATTTAAGCACCAATTAAATCTCAATTAGCCCAATGCGATTACCACTTGGTGTTTTGGCGGTGTCTAAAAGTGCCTACAATCATTTTTATATCAATCCCGAATACCCATTCTAGGTGCTGCTCTTTTCCTTGAGATGTTATCAAAAAGCCAAAAGTCTCTTTCAACATGGTATAAATTGTAGTTTGTTCGCAAAAACAGCAACTTAACGAAGACCGCTGCCTGTTGCTTGCCGTTGCAGTCTCGGAATCTGTTGCTGCCGCTGCCGCTGCCACTGCTGCTGCTGCTGCCTCTGCCAGCGTGGTTGCTTCTCTGTTGCCATATCTAGCAGTTTCCATTTCATTTTTAGCTAACGTTCAGAGCGTTCAGCGTTTTAATATTCAATTGTCGTCGATCGCGGGCGGTTGTAATTGCCATTGTTGTACACTGCCAGTGCTACGGACTTACCGTTATCCGTTCAACGTTGTGTGTTGCATACCTCATCGAGGCCTAGCCACTTACCGTTTGGCCATATTTACCGCAAATTTTTGGTTCAGTGATATTTGATTTTTGTTAAGTGTAACGCCTGCTGCCAGGATAATCTCCAGAATGTTACCCGCTGCCTGTCTATGCCTGGCTCTACTCTTCGTCGCGTGGCATCCACAACCAACCGCTGGCCGCAGCTACAGCAGCGGCCTCATCTTCTACGAGCTGGCCACGCACACGCCCTATCTGCCGCCCACTGTGAGCGCGGCGCGGGGTCGCAACCTAGCCAGAGTCAAGTACTCATCGAAGGGCTCCATTTGGTCCACATTTGGGCAGCCGTGTGACTGCCGTGGTCCCGTCTGCGGCTGCTGTGCCGGCCTCAAGGTGGATCAGTACAAATTCGACCAAAAAGGTGAGTCAGCGGGTCAACGAGGTCGTGGTTAGTTAATTACAGAAAGGGAAGATTTATTTAAATTAGGTTAGGTTAACCCAGACGTCCGTCGGAGGTGCCAGGTTTTTAGCTTTACTTTGAATCTTATTTCGATTTCCTTTCGTGACATGGTTGCATTTGCTTTTTTTTATTTTTTGCAGTATGTGCAAATGTCACGTTTGTGCCACAGCTGGAGGAGGCGCAGCTAGAAGTGTACCTCAATAACCGCCCCTCATCAAAGTACGGGATCTCAGTGCGGAATCCGGCGCCGTTCTGCATACCCGTCATGATGGGGGTGCCCATGGCCATGTGCGTCCAGATGACTGATGTAACCCTGGTGGGCAACAACCTGAACATGTGCATGGACTTTGTGGTGCGGCTCGCCACCACAGATCTCTTTGAGATGCACTTCCAGTGCATGCGAATGGGCCTCGACGGCCTCCAGTATGTGGACAAGAATGGAAAGCCCGTTCTGCCTTCTGCCGAAGCACAGGGCAATGATGATGATGATGAGGAGCAAATGGAACTTGGAAATGGTTCTGGTGCGGAGTATGACTATACTGAAGCAGAGGAGGAGGAGAAGCAGCAGTCAATTGAAAGTGAAATTCTAATGGCCAGCGATCAAGACTTGGCCAACAAAGAATACCAAATGGAGGCTGTCAACGAGGCGGAGTTGGATGCAGACTCAGAGGCGGAGGCGGAGACACCTGCCAATGCTGGCGAGAGCGGCCTAAAGCTAAACGAAATAATTCAAACAATTACCAATTCAATAAAAGCCCCTGAGGCGCCTCTAACAATCACAACTCGACAGCCGATCATTGTTGTTGGTGGCGACGACGACACAAACCACGAGCAGATCGATGGCGAAGAGTTAAGGGAGAAAGAAGAGGCAATGGTTGAAGGGGTGAAGATGTCAACTAAAGAGGAGACAGAGCAAGAGACAATGAAAGATACAGAAGCAACTACCACAGTGTCAGAAGAAATCGAAAACGAAAACATTAGCGAAAACGAGTTAAATGGTGATGTTGACGCTGGAAGAGATGGCGAGGTGAAGGAACCCCCAGTAAAAGTGCAGTCGAAGAAAGAGAAGGAAGCAGAGAAGCAGACGGAGATAGAAACGGGTACGGAGACGGACACGGAGACAGACACTGAGTTATTTAATTTGGTAGAGGCAGAGATAAACGATGGCACAGCTGCCGAGGTAGCCAATAAGGCAAAAGTAGTGACAGCGACAAAGAAAACGACAACAACAACAACAGCAGCTGCAGCCAAGTCGTTGTCCAGGCGCCATCGACTACATCGACTACATCGGCAACGTCGCCGCCACAATGCCGTCAAGCAGTCTCCTGCACACTTTATTTATCGTAATTTGTAATTGTTAATGAGTTGTTAATGCTAAACGTTGATGCTTGTTAATTAATACGTATTTATTATTTATTGAAACCAACACTCAAAGCCAAACTCAAGCGAATAAAGCATAATTTAAATCCTTAATAATACGATATGGGCAGCCTGGATCAATTGGGTTCAAAGCATGGCAGAGATTGAACTGCCGCTCGAACGGCAAGCAGTAATACACACCCGAAAGATTTTACAATCCGAAGCAGTAGATCAGCGATGCCCAGGCCCATTTCCCTGCGAGCCCTTTCGTTTTTGTAATTACCCACAGCATAGGAAACCAATTCTTGTATGCATACACAGTTTGTGCTGTGTACCAGCAAAATTTCTATAACAGGAGCAGGAGCAGCGCAGGTGCTGCCGATAGGGCGCGGTGGCGGTGCCGCGGAAGAAGCAGCCGAATCTAAAAACTGGATGGTAATTACCCAAAAGAAATTCATAGCTCTGGTATTCTTTCGAAAAAGTGAACGATTCATACGTCATTTTGTTGGTAATGAATGCCCCTAAAGAACTAACATCTGAAAACAGGCTTATACGATACGGAAAATATTTAAAAAAATGGTCAAAGTTGAAGTAACCCTCAAAACAGAGGCTAATTTCAGGTTTGGATCGATATATCTTCAGGTATATCCATTTTATCGACACGGATCAAATGTCTTGCGACAGGCCATACAATTATCTTTACAAAACGGCTGGTGATGCCGTGTGTGGGTGGTGGGTGGCAGGAGCAGCGCAGGTGGTGTCGATAGGGCACGGTGGCGGTGCCGCGGCAGAGACAGCTACTATGGCTGCAGGGAGGATTATGCAGCAGCAGGTGCTGCCAAAAAGGCACATGGCCAAAAGGCGAATACATTCATACATTCGAATGAATACATTCATACATTCGAATGAATACATTCATACATTCGAATGAATACATTCATACATTGGAATGAATACATTCATACATTGGAATGAATACATTCATACATTCGAATGAATACATTCATACATTCGAATGAATACATTCATACATTCGAATGAATACATTCATACATACATACATGCCGTGTGTGGGAAGTGGGTGGCAGGAGCAGCGCAGGGGCTGCCGATAGGGCGCGGTGGCGGGGCCGCGGCAGAGACAGCTACTATGGCTGCAGGGAGGATTATGCAGCAGCAGGTGCTGCCAAAAAGGCGCATGGCCAAAAGGCGAATACATTCATACATTCGAATGAATACATTCATACATTCGAATGAATACATTCATACATTCGAATGAATACATTCATACTAGAGGTGTCAAACCATCGAGGGCACTATCGATAGTATCGATATTTTACTGCTAGTCTCTACTATCGACGGTTTTGCGACTAGCATGATAGTATCGAGCTACAGTCGTTGCGCTTTTGATATGTTTGGATTAGCTGCTATAAAATACGAATACAAATTTGTAAAAATATCGACAGGTGGCATCTAATTTTTACAATGGACAAGTTCCTAAAAGGTTTCAATGGTTTTTTAATAATTATTTGAGCCCGATACTATTACGGCAGTATCGATTGTTTTTTTCAAAACATTCAACGTTGATATTCCTCAATTTTGATATTCCGTTTAATATTACTAGCTAGCTGGGACTTTCCGCCCACAAATAATTTTATCCAATTCCTCAATGAATTTTGTTTAGGATTGGCTAGTTTTTAGAAGTCCTTTTTATTGGATTATTTACATATTAAGGTTCAAACAAAAACAACATAAACGAATGTGTCGTCGTTTTGTGGCGCTACCAGACTCCTGCAATTCGTAGTAGCTGCGGGCTGCCATACCGTGATATTTTGTGATATGAAATTCGTCAATTTTATATTCCGTTTATTACTAGCTAGCTGGGCCAGCACATAATTTATCCAATTCCCAATGAATTTTGTTTAGGTTGGCTAGTTTTCAGAACTATTTTTCATTGATTGTTTACATTTAAGGTTCAAACAAAAGCGGCCAAAGCATACAACGTAATGTTGACTAAATGTGACGTCAGTGTTGCTGGTCAACCAGTTTTGTGCGTTACCGACCCGTAGTAGCTGGGGCTGCCACCGTGATATTTTGTGATATGAAATTCGTCATTTTGATATTCCGTTTAAGATTACTAGCTAGCTGGGACTCTCAACCCTAAACAAATAATTTTATACAATTCCTCAATGAATTTTGTTTAGGATTGGCTAGTTTTCAGAACTATTTTTTATTGGATTGTTTACATATTAAGGTTCAAACAAAAGCGGCCAAAGCATAACACGTAAATGTTGACTAAATGTGACGTCGTGTTGCTGGTCAACCAAGTTTTGTGACGTTACCAGACTCCTGCAATTCGTAGTAGCTGCGGGCTGCCATACCGTGATATTTTGTGATATGAAATTCGTCAATTTTGATATTCCGTTTAATATTACTAGCTAGCTGGGACTCTCAGCCCTAAACAAATAATTTTATCCAATTCCTCAATGAATTTTGTTTAGGATTGGCTAGTTTTTAGAAGTCCATTTTATTGGATTATTTACATATTAAGGTTCAAACAAAAGCGGCCAAAGCATAAAACGTAAATTTTGACTAAATGTGACGTCGTGTTGCTGGTCAACCAAGTTTTGTGACGTTACCAGACTCCTGCAATTCGTAGTAGCTGCGGGCTGCCATACCGTGATATTTTGTGATTGAAATTCGTCAATTTTGATATTCCGTTTAATATTACTAGCTAGCTGGGACTCCCAGCCCTAAACAAATAATTTTATCCAATTCCTCAATGAATTTTGTTTAGGATTGATTAGTTTTTAGAAGTCCTTTTTATTGGATTATTTACATATTAAGGTTCAAACAAAAGCGGCCAAAGCATAAAACGTAAATGTTGACTAAATGTGACGTCAGTGTTGCTGGTCAACCAAGTTTTGTGACGTTACCAGACTCCTGCAATTCGTAGTAGCTGCGGGCTGCCATACCGTGATATTTTGTGATATGAAATTCGTCAATTTTGATATTCCGTTTAAGATTACTAGCTAGCTGGGACTCTCAACCCTGAACAAATAATTTTATACAATTTCTCAATGAATTTTGTTTTGGATTGGCTAGTTTTCAGAACTATTTTTTATTGGATTATTTACATATTAAGGTTCAAACAAAAGCGGCCAAAGCATAAAACGTAAATGTTGACTAAATGTGACGTCAGTGTTGCTGGTCAACCAAGTTTTGTGACGTTACCAGACTCCTGCAATTCGTAGTAGCTGCGGGCTGCCATACCGTGATATTTTGTGATTGAAATTCGTCAATTTTGATATTCCGTTTAATATTACTAGCTAGCTGGGACTCCAAGCCCTAAACAAATAATTTTATCCAATTCCTCAATGAATTTTGTTTAGGATTGGCTAGTTTTTAGAAGTCCTTTTTATTGGATAATTTACATATTAAGGTTCAAACAAAAGCGGCCAAAGCATAAAACGTAAATGTTGACTAAATGTGACGTCAGTGTTGCTGGTCAACCAAGTTTTGTGACGTTACCAGACTCCTGCAATTCGTAGTAGCTGCGGGCTGCCATACCGTGATATTTTGTGATTGAAATTCGTCAATTTTGATATTCCGTTTAATATTACTAGCTAGCTGGGACTCTCAGCCCTAAACAAATAATTTTATCCAATTCCTCAATGAATTTTGTTTAGGATTGATTAGTTTTTAGAAGTCCTTTTTATTGGATTATTTACATATTAAGGTTCAAACAAAAGCGGCCAAAGCATAAAACGTAAATGTTGACTAAATGTGACGTCAGTGTTGCTGGTCAACCAAGTTTTGTGACGTTACCAGACTCCTGCAATTCGTAGTAGCTGCGGGCTGCCATACCGTGATATTTTGTGATATGAAATTCGTCAATTTTGATATTCCGTTTAAGATTACTAGCTAGCTGGGACTCTCAACCCTGAACAAATAATTTTATACAATTTCTCAATAAATTTTGTTTTGGATTGGCTAGTTTTCAGAACTATTTTTTATTGGATTGTTTACATATTAAGGTTCAAACAAAAGCTTCCAAAGCATAAAACGTAAATGTTGACTTAATGTGACGTCAGTGTTGCTGGTCAACCAAGTTTTGTGACGTTACCAGACTCCTGCAATTCGTAGTAGCTGCGGGCTGCCATACCGTGATATTTTGTGATTGAAATTCGTCAATTTTGATATTCCGTTTAATATTACTAGCTAGCTAGGACTCTCAGCCCTAAACAAATAATTTTATCCAATTCCTCAATGAATTTTGTTTAGGATTGATTAGTTTTTTTAAGTCCTTTTTATTGGATTGTTTACATATTAAGATTCAAACAAAAGCGGCCAAAGCATAAAACGTAATGTTGACTAAATGTGACGTCGTGTTGCTGGTCAACCAAGTTTTGTGATATGAAATTCGTCAATTTTGATATTCCGTTTAATATTACTAGCTAGCTGGGACTCTCAGCCCTAAACAAATAATTTTATCCAATTCCTCAATGAATTTTGTTTAGGATTGATTAGTTTTTAGAAGTCCTTTTTATTGGATTATTTACATATTAAGGTTCAAACAAAAGCGGCCAAAGCATAAAACGTAAATGTTGACTAAATGTGACGTCAGTGTTGCTGGTCAACCAAGTTTTGTGACGTTACCAGACTCCTGCAATTCGTAGTAGCTGCGGGCTGCCATACCGTGATATTTTGTGATATGAAATTCGTCAATTTTGATATTCCGTTTAATATTACTAGCTAGCTGGGACTCTCAGCCCTAAACAAATAATTTTATACAGTTCCTCAATGAATTTTATTTTGGATTGGCTAGTTTTCAGAACTAGTTTTCATTGGATTGTTTACATATTAAGGTTCAAACAAAAGCGGCCAAATCATAAAATGTAAATGTTGACTAAATGTGACGTCAGTGTTGCTGGTCAACCAAGTTTTGTGACGTTACCAGACTCCTGCAATTCGTAGTAGCTGCGGGCTGCCATACCGTGATATTTTGTGATATGAAATTCGTCAATTTTGATATTCCGTTTAAGATTACTAGCTAGCTGGGATTCTCAGCCCTAAACAAATAATTTTATCCAA